GCAGGGCACAGGTGACCCACACGAAGGGCAGCAGGGCACAGGTGACCACAGGAAGGGCAGATGACGAGAGACAAATGCAAAGGTTGAAGGTCAGGTCGCTTGTTGGTTAAGTTTAACTGTATTTTAGCATTTTTATTAAATCATTCAGTTATTTTCTCAAAACTCTTCCATCTTGAATTTGTTATCACAATACCCGAGAATGCTTAAATAAATAAGTAAATAAATAAATAAATCTGTGACAATGTCTTTGGTGAACATCTGCCGTGGTGTTTAATTATATGTTAACAGCCGCCATAAAGTGCATTAATGGCTTCTGCAGTCTTGAAAACTGTTCATCATGAAATTGTGTTGATCATGTTGTATTATAAAGTTTTTGTCAAGGGTGGGAGAGAAGTTTCCAACTATCACAGGAACTCTAGGTCCTAATTAAGCAATCAGATTTGACAAAGTGTGTATTAATGTAAGATCACATACCCTGAGGGTACTGCAGAGACGAAGTCTGCTCTCTGAAAGTCAGTTCCTGTCTGTGGTGCCACCACAGCCCTGAAAGTCTCCTGAACTGTAACTGAAAGTATTTCTAGACATAAGGAGAGGCCCCCATCATCAACTACAGGCCTGTAGTAGTTGGGCTATCCAGAGTTTTATTGTGTAATAGTTTTGACTGTTTTCTTAACCTAACAACATGTAGCTAATTTTTAATATCTTCTTATATGGCACCAGGCACTAGTGCTTGTCAGCTAAATGCTAAACTATCAGGAGATGTAATATGTGCAAGAGAATAACAGAAGCATGCAAAGGCAGTGTGCCTCAACGGGAGCATTAGTGTTTTGGAGGTGTGTGTGTGTGTGTGTGTGTGTGTGTGTGTGTGTGTGTGTGTGGTGTTTGGCAGTCCCAGTTACTGATGGCATGGAATGGATTGGTGTAATGAAGAACCCTTCACCAAGCTCTAGTATCTCATCAGCTCCAGGAGACAAACCTCCTCACTGTATCTATCTCATTGGCTCCAGGAGACAAGTAGTCCTACTGTATCTATTTCATTGGCTCCAGGAGACAAACACCCTCACTGTATCTATCTCATTGGCTCCAGGAGACAAGTATCCTCATTGTCTCAGTCAGAAACTATTCTCTTATAAATGACCATGAAGAATCTTTCCATAGTACTTTTCTTTTTTGAGAAAGGGACTCATGTATCTCAGGCTTACGAGAACTCCATAGGTAGCTGAGGATGACTTTAAATTTCTGATCCTTCTGTCTCCACCTCCAGAGTGCTGCAATTAGTAACAGAGGTCCACCATGTCTGTGGCGCTAGGGATGAGTGTGGTTACAGGGAGTAAATGATTCTGCAAATGCAGAAGCAGTAACTAGCAGAGAAAATATTGAACCAAGTTTGCCTGACTTTAAGCTAGGATGCTTGACTCCCAGGGTTCACCATCACCCGAGAGAAAGGACGCTTGACTCCTAGGGTACACTGTCACCTGAGAGATAGGATGCTTGACTCCTAGGGTACACCGTCACCTGAGAGATAGGATGCTTGACTCCTAGGGTACACCGTCACCTGAGAGATAGGATGCTTGACTCCTAGGGTACACCGTCACCTGAGAGATAGGACGCTTGACTCCTTGGGTACACTGTCACCCGAGGAAGCACCGATGATTGATTGACAGAATAATCCAAAAAAGTATTAACTGTATGACTTACTGTACTCTTATTGTTTCCAACACTACAAAATCTGTCTCCCAACTTCAGATGAGGAGAGGAACAACCTAAAATGTGCTTCTCAAATGTTGATGGACATACTCTCGGTCACACTAAAGGCATGTTCTGACTTCGTCGGTCACCACTGATCTACAGAGTCGTTTTTAAAGAAGGAAAGGCCTGGGAATGGAGGGTGGGATGACTCACTCACCACACCAGTGTGAGGACTGGAGCTCAGATACTTAGAACCCACCGGGTGAGTGTGGCAGCCCCGCTGCAACTCCAGCACTCAGAAGGCAGATCTTAGAGCAGGCTTGCCCAATCAGCAAGTGAGAGCACATATTCAATATATAAGGTAGAGAGTCACATAACATCAATCTATAGCCTACACACACACACACACACACACACACACACACACACACACACGTACACATGTAAAGAAACGAAGATCTAAAGATGAATATCAAATCTAAACACATCCACAGTATAGAAAATTGTTCATTTTCACATATTTGAAGTGATTTTAAGAATGCAAATAGGAAAGGAAGATACAACTTTGTCATAAATAAAATACCGTATTACTATGATGTAAAAAAAAACAGACGGACAGTGGTGGTGCACACCTTTAATCCCAGGATTCAGGAGGCAGAGGCAGGTAGATCTCTGTTAGTTCAAGACCAGTGTGGTCTACAGAGCAACTCAGTGAAACCCTGTCTCGAAAAACCAAAACAGCGAAAAACAAACAAACCAAAAACCCCAGTAAGATGACACAGTTTCTATTCTCTTATCTATACATGCGTGTGTGTGCACACACATGTGTGTGTGCATGCATGCATGTGTACGTGTGCATGCACTGAAGTCTACATAGGTTGTGGGGACACATACAGGGGGATGTTCTGACGTTGCGGTGTACGAGTCTAACACCTGTGGGATAATATGGAGATTTCCTTTAAAAACGACTGGGAATGTCACAGTCTGTGACCGCCACCCCCTTATGCCTGGCTCTTCACTGTACCAAACTGCTTCTCCCACTTTAAAAGTAAAAATGCAACAGAAATCTCCAGGGGTGAAGCCTCCTTTGCACAGCTCTTCTCCGTGGACAAACCGCACACGCATGTGCAAAGCCTTTGACCCTCCGAAGCCAGCAGCCTTTGTAATTACTTCCCAGAACCAACTCTTTTCATGGTACTCATGCTATAACAGATTCAGAGATATGAATAAAACATCTTAATTTTCAAGTATTGCTTTTTAAATTAATATTGAAAGGAAATGCCGTGTTAAAAAAAATTTCTTTTTTAAGGCATGCTGCTCTTGCATAGCAGGCTGCAGTTTCTGTGGCCTGTCTTGTTAAGACTCCGCTAGGGCCCATCTGATGCACACTTATTTACGGATTGCAGACTAAAAGCTCTTTCTCCTCACGAGCACTCATCTCCACGTCCTCATTAGGTGGTTTTTCTCTTTTCTTTTTGTTGAGGCCTGGCCATGCCCTTGGTACACTCTTTTGTTCCTTGTTGCAAAAGGAATGGTTTTAAAGGCTCCCTCTCTACCAGTCCCACCTCTTTTTTCTTTTTTTTACCCCTTTTGTAATTAGCCTTATTTGAGGACCAGAAAAGCAAAAGACTGCAAAGAAATACAAAAACTACTGAACAAAAGACACGATGTTCTTTCCCCAACCATATGCTGTGGAGCTCGTGCACAACCTGGGTCAGATGACTTGCATATATGCCTTTAAAATGAAAAGAGAAGTGGAGAAAAAAAAAAGAACCAAAGGACTAAAGAAAAAGCCCAACTTGCTCAGCAGCTGCATTGGTATAAACAGGCTTGGAGTAAATGTCACAGTCAAAGGAGAATAATACACCTTACCTTCCCTGCAAAAGTAATTCACATTGAAACCAAAGAACACGAGGAGACAGGAGCTGATAACAATGCTTGCAGATAGCCATTCAAACCAGCTTAATATGCATCCATACTGATGGGAATGAGAGAGACACTTTTCTTTTTTCCGACTCAGAAGCTCTGTCATCCTAGTCACAGGCAGCAAGGACAGTTCCATTGTTTCCTTCTAAATGGGTTCACTAGGGACAGAGATGGTTCAGTTAGCAGCAAAGTGTTTGACTTGCAAACCTGAGGACCCAAGTCCAAAAACCAGAACTCATGTAAAAGGGTGTGGTGGCATGCGCTTGTAATCCTGGACTAGAGAAATGGAGACAGGTGAAACCCTGAAGCTTGCTGGCCAGCTAGCCTAGCCTAGTCAGTGGGAGGTAAGAGACTTTGTCTCCAAACAAACCAAAACCATAATCAACCAACAAAACAAAATAATATGGAAGATGTGCTGAGGACAAACACTGGAAGCTGAAGTCTAGAATGTGCAGACACACACCAACCTACATGCAAGCTCCCACACAAATCCATTGTAGGGCATGCACACACCAACCTACATGCACGCACCCACACAAATCCATTGTAGGGCATGCATGCACCCACATAAGTCCATTCTACGGCATGCACACACCAACCTACATGCAAGCTCCCACACAAATCCATTGTAGGGCATGCACATACCAACCTACATGCAAGCTCCCACACAAATCCATTGTAGGGCATGCACATACCAACCTACATGCATGCACCCACACAAGTCCATTCTAGGGCATGCACACACCAACCTACATGCATGCACCCACACAAGTCCATTCTAGGGCATGCACACACCAACCTACATGCATGCACCCACACAAGTCCATTCTAGGGCATGCACACACCAAGCCGTAATTCTGACTGTGGACAAGGTTCATGAAAACTAACAAGGGGTGGAAAGTTAGTGCTGATGGCTATCCTGGGCCTGCAGAAGAAAAAGGGGAAAAGCCATTTATTAAATCTGGAACTGAAGCAGCATAAAATGAAATGAACTACGGCTTTTGCCACCCACATGACCAGGAAGTATAGGGGTTAGACCAGAAAATACCCATCCCTCTTTCTTCCAACTCTCTGCTCCTCTGCAGAGCTGTCCAGTTAGAAAACACCCTCCTAGAAACCTGGGAGCAGGCAAGCTGT